TATATACACACATACATACACCCTACTGGTTCTGTTTCTGTGAAGAACCCCAACTAACACAAACTTTCGTTTTTTAGTCCCTAGCAATATAGAAGAATAAGTGACTTAAATGCATATTATTATATAGATACTTAAATACATAGATAATGTCCTACAATACAATAGCCTGCACTATGAGTTCAATGTTTGTTTTATTTAATGCTTTTGAGTCTCCAGCAACATAGAAAACTTAACTTATACTCACTTGTGTTGGTTTAGACTAGACATCCACTAATAAGGTTATCACTCATTTCTCCTAAAACCAGTGACATTAAAGGGAGACAGGCTCCATTTACCAGTGATGCCAGTATTCCCAGGATCATGAATATGACGTCCAGTCCATCAGCAAAGCGGAACTGAGGAAAACAGCATGGAAGTGTTATGGCTATAAAACAAACAAAACACTAACCTACAGCTTTGCCCTCAAGTCAGCATTACTTTAAAAATCGTCCAGTCCATCAGCAAAGCGGAACTGAGGAAAACAGCATGGAAGTGTTATGTCTATAAAACAAACAAAACACTAACCTACAGCTTTGCCCTCAAGTCAGCATTACTTTAAAAATTAAGAGATTCAATAAAGGTATGAAATCACAGACATGTATTTACATATCAAGTAAACAAAAACAGAAACAAAAACAAACGCCCAATATTAAGGATTTACAGCCTACTTTGAAGAAGATGTTGAAAAACAAAGCGGCTAAATCAGTACAAACTGTGGGTACGTGACACAAATTGGGTCAGAAGTGGCTGTGAATCAGAAACTTCCTTCCACTTGGTTGATTTTGGAATAAGTTAAGATAATTTGAAAGCCTGCAATGATAATATCTTAGTTTGTGGAAACCTGATCTGCAAACATTCGATTCCCCAGGCTCATCAGCATCAGAGCAATGTCACAACTAGTACAGTGAACAGTAACCAACTACTAAAAAAGTAATAAATTATATTTTTGATTCTTATTTTAAATTTGTCATATTTTTTGCTATCCAGGACAATGTGTATCCTGTAAACAAGAGTCTATAATTTTAAGGGCTGTTTGGAATAAGAAAGAAATACGTGAAAGCACAATACTGGATGCTTTATATTCCATTCTTTAGCAGGTTCCCACAAAACCATCCAAACCCAAACCATGAACAAAACTTGAAAATGCAGATTTTTTTGTCTCACAGAGAGAAGTCAAGATATATCTATATTTATATATAGATATTATATATAGACTTATATCTATATTTATATAGATATAACTAATAGTATTGAAATGTAATTTCATTTGAATAATAGCAAGTTTCAGGTGTATTTCTAATGACATTGACAGGCAGGCTGACATAGATTAAAGCAGATGAAGGGGCTGTCTAGGAACACATTCCTTGAACATGATTCCAAAGAAGTCTGCTGACACATTTTTTGATACACAGGCTTTACAAAACATTTAGATAATTTTTTTTATTTAAAAAGTTTGTAACACTTCAAAAATAATAACGGTAAAATTGGGAAATACTGAAATGTAAACCACTCATAATTTTTCATCACTCAGAAATAAACTCTGGTAATATTTATGCATGATACATACACACATGCACACACACAAAGGTACTTTAAAAAGTTGGTAGAAAAAAATAGAATTGAAAGATAATATGAATCTTTCCATGAACTTTTTGAAGCACTATTGTATGTATACATATTTTTTTAAAAAAATGAGATCACTGTGTGGATGCTGTGTATATTTTTTTCTTATCCCTTATTGTGGAATTTTGGGCTGTTTATATTTTTTCCTATTGGAAGTGACACTTCGGCAAATTCTTTTTTTAATTCCCCCTTTCCTCAAATAATGTATGTAAACTATCATACGAACACAGTCATTTTAGGCACTGCTGACAGTTCCCTAAAGTGTTCTGGTATGCATACTATCCAGCTGATTTCACTTGCCATCTCAATGGATCCAACAGCTTGCTTTCCCACTTCAGGCAGCTGGGAAACAACTGCAGATGGCAGTTGTTCCTGTAGTGTTCTGGAAAATAAATGTTTAAAATGGAAAAGTTAAAATGTGAATATAATTTGCAAAATTTTCCAGTTAACATTTTGCTGAAGTGTTAAATATTACCTTTGATAGCACATTTATAACAACAATGAAAA